AATATTTCTGGAAATAGTAAAATTATATTTGTGTAATGAAATCAGTAATCATCTACTATAACGAATTATTCGTTATATATACTGCATAATTCATTATAGCGTTAACAAAGATTCTTATAATGAAGTCCTGATCGGCTAGATCAGCAACTTCATTATATTGGGGTGTGACTGTATTCTTAACTTTCATATTTTTATCTTAAATCTGTTTTATATTTCTTAAACTAAGAAATTTATTATATGTGTAATATATCTAATATGATTTTTATGATAAAAATTGATGTATTGTTAATACAGATATACTTAAGTAATTTTAAAAAAATGTTATTGTTAGATATATTATTAACTGTAATCTCAAAAATCTAATAATAAGTAATTTATAAATTAGATTTATTATAAAAAATAAACTTATTATTAGTTTTTAATTAATATTTTTTTCTTAAAAATATTTTATAAATATATAAATCAGATTTTTATCTGAATAGGATCCTGTAGTTCAATAAAATTTACAAGAATATTTTTAAGATTTCAGTCTGGATTTATATAATAATCAGTTATATTAAAAAATTCTATAATATTAGATGATATCTATCTGTTTAAAGTAAAATTTATTTTACTTATATTATATTTTAATTAATAATTTAATAGTAAATTAGCTTATAATTTAGTTGAATAATAATTGTAAATATTATAATTTATTTTACTAACTTGTAAAATATTCTATAAATTCATTTTATAGTTATAATTTAACTTAATAATATTACTTTTAATTATATCTATTATTGATAGAATAATTGACCAATTATAATAAAGTTATGTAAATAACATAATATAATGATCTTCTAATCTAAAATTTTGAAAATACTGAAAATTCTGTAAATTCTGAAAATATGAAAGATCTACAAAATTCTGCAGATCTTTCAAATACTAATAATAATTCTAATTTTATAAATTAAACAAAGTCTAAAAATATTTAATGTTATATTTATTTTTAATATTCTAATTTTTATTATTATTTTTATTATATTTTATATTATTATTATTTTACATATATTTATTATTTTTAGTATATTTATTTTACCTATATTTTCTTTATCAAATTAGTTAGTTTATGGCATAGTAAATAGTTAGCTATAATAAAAGAAATTTTGTATAAATAGATAGATTTTTACTTATATTGTAAATTAACTCTTTTACAAGTCAAAGTAATTCTCTTACGAATACAAGTTTTAATATAAATAAAGAAATCATTCAAAACTTATATCTTTCTGCTTCTTTGTATCTTCATATAGTCTAACATTATTCCTACATATTATTTGTAATTAAGTTTGTTATCTGAATTCTTTAATTAAACTGTTCGTAATCTTGTCTTTCAAGTCTTCATACTTGATAGATTTGTTTTAAGTTTAACCTGTAGATTTAATAAAGTTAAGAGTTAGATAGATCCTAATATTTTAATCACAGTAAACCACAGTTAGTAATCTCAAATAGAGATTTAATAATGTGATCAACCAGAGTTAAAAAATTTTACAATGACACTACTAATAGAATATATACTATTAGATTATAAAGTTTTATTAAAATTTAAAATTCAGATAATTCAATAATAATAAATGATTGATCATTAGTAAAAATTCATATAGCAAGTTTTTTACAAAAATTACATTAGAAAATACTTGTAAATAAAAATAAATATAAGATCATTTTAAAGTAAAACAAAAATAAAATAAATTATATTTACTAATTTATTATTTTACTATAAAAATTTCTTTATAATTTCTATTTGTTTTATAATTTTAGAATTAATTTTTTCTGGATGTAACTTAAGATAATAATTTAAGTTACTAGTTAAATTTTTTTTATTATATTATACTACTATTTCTATTAAAATTAGTTTTTTTTTAAAATAAATATAATTTAATTAAAAAATATTTTTATATTATTTCTTACCTATATTGTTAATATTTGTTGAAATAATATTTTTATTATCTATAAATTTATTAAAATAATTTTATATAATACTTTTTTATTATATTTTATCTAATAAATTTAAAAGAGAATTTGATTTTTTTAAAAGTTTATTTAAAAGTTTGCTTTCCTTATTTTTAATATGAATTTCTTAATATGAATATTTTCTTTTATATTTTTATCAATTTTACAATAGTGATGCTTTAATTTATTTTTATTGAATATATTTTTATTTGATATTTTATTAAATATTTGTAAAAAAAAGTTCTCAACATTTTTAAAAAAAAATGAATTAATAAAAAAAAATATTAATGATTAATTTACTAATATGATTAGTTAATTTATATAATTTGATCTAAATTAAGTAAGTCAAATTCAAAGCTTTAATTAATATTAAAAAAAGTTACAATAAATAATAAAAAGTATTATAATGGTATAACTTTATCCTAAAATAAATTAGTATTTATTACAAATTTATTAATAAAAACTTTAATTTTATTAATCTTTAATTTTAAAAACATTTATTTATTTATTAAATCTAATATTTAAATAAAATTAATATAAAAAACTAAGTTAAATTGTTTTATTCTTTCAAGCATATTACAGATAAATTTGTTTGCAATTTTATTTAATAATTAAAATTTTATAATAATTATTTAAAAATTAATATTTTTATAATAAATTTTATAATATTTCTAAGTAAAAATTCAAAAAATAATGTAATTAATTAGTAATATTTTAAAGATAAATATATTATAAAAAATTAAAATTAAATTTATATATTGTTATAGGGTAATAATTATATGATCTACATATGATTTGTAAATGTGATGTAATACAAAATGTTAAAAATATTAAATATATTAAATATGTTTAATATAGTTAATATATTTAATATATCAGATATGTTTAATATAGTTAATATATTTAACACAAATTAAATATATATATAGAGGACTAGATTCATTAAAAAAGATAACTATCAATTGCTTGATGTAATCTGATTAGTTCTGTGATAGTTATGTGCAACTTCCTTTTATCAAAGATAGCGCAAAACTACTCTTTTCTATTTATGATCAATTCTTCTTTTGTATTTTCTTATTTTAGTATTTTTACTTTTTTAGCTTGTTTATTTATCAATAAACTTTATTTTTGATTTTTCTGAAAATGTTTTTGAGATACTTGTATTAGTAACATAATTAATATTTATCTTAAACTTAATATGTGAAGATATACTTGATAGTATATTGAATATACTTGACAGTATATTGCAAATGAATTATACATTTATCAAAAGTTTGAATATATTTTTCAGTATATAACTGAATCTTATTTAACTTGAAAACTATGAATTTTACTACGTAAACTATAAAAAAGTTAACTCTCTAATACTATGTTTAACAGTTGCAACCTAAAAAGATTACACATTAATATTTAGTGATTATGACAGAATTCTCTTCTCTTATTTATGTAGTAACATGTGAACAAATTACTTTAAACATATTTTAGAATATTAAGCATCAATGCTTATATTAATAATTACACTTAAAAATAGATTGTAATTTAGACAATTTTAATTCTTACATACAATAATGTATTACAGAAGATATTATCAAAGTTTAGTTTATTTTTAACAAATAGAATTTTTAAAAACTGATCAAATGATATAACAATAATATAACATTAGTAAACAAAATAATATTCATTCAGTAATTTAGAAAAAATAACCAGAGTAAAAGTGAAAGTGTCAATAGTATGATTGGTAGCTCTTAAAATAATATAGCAATTATTATTTATTAAATAATTTTATAGTCAAATATGTAGTAATTTATTAATTATATAAAAAAAATCTCTTTAATTCAATTGCCTAATAAAAATTCCATGTTCATAAAATGTATAATATTTGACTATCTATTTTATTTATATATACTTATCATTAAATGTACAGAAGTTTAACACATCATAACCGCATTATGGCCACATTATAACCACATTATAACTATATTATGAATGTTAAATGTAAGGAAAAATAAGCCCTATTTGGATAATTTATGGTATAAATACCTGCTGAAACCTTCTCAAAATAATTTTGTCATACCCTTTTCTATGTTTTTAATATAGTTTCAATTGTTTCGGCTTTTGTCATATCGAATGAATTTCGTCGTATCCCTTATTATGATTTTAATATAGTTTCGTCTAAGTTTCGACTGTTATTAAGGGGTTTTGTCGCTCATCTATAATTTGTGATCATATATTTGTTTACTTTATGTTATGAATGTATCTCTATTTGGATAATATTTGTTTGATTTGTGAATGTATATTATTATACAATTGTTATACATATTATAACCATTTTACGAATTTGTTTTATATAACATTACAGCAATACTAATATGCAAATATAGAATCTTTAAAATCAAGCGATCGTATTTTTTCCTATTATCTTTTACCAGATTTGTCAACATCATTGATTGAACGCTTATTTCGAAGGGATCTATGAGGCACAGTTTGTTGCAATTTTATTTCACTTTCTCTATAATTATAAAAATCGAGTAGTAGTATAGCTTGTTTTCGAATAAAATAGATAATTACATTTTTATAAACATATGTTAAATCACCTGACATAAGAGTTTGTTTCAATGATCTTTTCGATGATTTGGCTTTGCATGATCCAATTGTCCTTTGTGATGTCAACTTATCAAAATCAGAAATACAAATTTTCTTAAGAGACTTTGATTCTTTGTCATCCGAATCAGGTAGTGATAGATTATAATCTTCAGACTCTGACCCTTTTTTGAAATATATAAAAATTAATTTTTATTTCTTATTAATTTGCTTTTCACCTTTTGTATATCTTTCTTTAGCATTACATGATTGAGAAACAAGTGAGCACACCTTGTGAAGAGATACTATCTGTCATTTTATTCTCTTTGACATTATCCTTAGAACTTTCTGAGTCTGTATTATGATAATAAATTGGTATAGGATTAGATAATGAGTAATGTGTATGATCTTTCGATGTTTTATCAAGCTCATCATCAACATTACCATAAGAATTTTCATGACTTTCAGAATAATGGTTAGTAGAAGTCATCTTTTTTTGAGCATACTTCCTTCCACGCTTCTCATAATTGACAATCAGTTGATTTGATCTCTCATGCTTCTCATCATTAACAATCAGTTGATTTATCCTTCTGCGCTTCTCACCTTCGACAGTTAATTGATTCATCCTTTCGTGCTTCTCACCATTAACTAGACCTATAATACGAAAGTATAATGATGATATACATTAATTTTCTATTAGTTTATATAAGACATCTATATACTTTAAAAAATTGACTTTATTTTTGATATAACTTTTCTTATCTTGACGACGAGCATTTTCTCCTATAAAATATAGTTGACTAAATAAAATATACCAAAAGACTAATATCATCATGTATAATACTTATGATTAATGTTTATTTTGCAACGCATGAGATTTACTAAGGCCCAATCACCGATACAATCAGGAAAGCGAGGATTAGCTTTCTTGAACTTGCGGATAATTCCAGCTCTAATATTTTTATCAAGGTTTTTATATTGAATTCCAATGGGAGTATGACATTCGATAAGTCTGTAAAAGGCAGCTTGGATTGGGAAAGCTTGATTAAAGGTTAGTTAAGCTTGATAATACACTTTGATAATATTCACCCTGTAACTTTCATATACGTTCTTCTCCAAATTTAATTTCAGATGCAAATTCGCAAATTTGCTTGATTTTCCAGATGGTTTTGGGATCAGCAGAGCAACAGATGAATTATCATGATCTTTATCAATGGTATTAGACTTGCAATCCTTAAAAAATTAAAATTATCAATGTTGAATCATGTTATGTCTTATTTAAAGCAACTGTACGATTCATCTTTTACCCTCGCATCATCTAACTCCTATTCAGAACTTGACCATTCTAAGCTAGAGTCTTGATGTCTCTTTTCTTTTCTTTTATTATAATTAGACTTCAACATTTTTGTAGTTTCTATTTCACTTCTCGAAACTAATACTTCCTTTTTTTGCTTCAGCTTTTAATGCCTTATTTTAGTTTTTCAAAGCAGTAACACGAGCTAGAATTGATGCCAAGATTTTTTTGTCCACTCCTGTTTGTATATCACTATTATCGTTAGATTTTTCAAGGCTGAAGTCATAGTTATGTTTGTTGATAGACTTTTGGAAGACTGAATTATATTCTTTGGTGAAACTTTCAGGTTTATAAGTAATAGAACTAGAACTTTTCTACGTTTTGCCATGTTTATAATTTGAACAATTAGTTTAGAAAGATAATTCAGAAAGAATTAAAAAAAAATTAAAAAATTGAAAGGTGATTAAAAAAAGTTTATAAATAACAAACGTTTGAGTTTATTTTAACTATTTCTTTTTTGGTTAAAGTTAATTTGTATTACAAATAAAAAGTCTATTTCTGGTTAAAACTTAATTATTAATTATATCAATCATATATTTTCTAAATCAATGATGCTGATCATATGGCTAACTACAGAATTATTTAAATTGAATAATGTTTAAAGCGATTTTTTTTTTTAGAAAAATGATTTTTATATTTTTATTGAATTCTCTAATATAGTTTTAATTTCAATACTTTTTAATATGAATAAATCTAATAAAGTTTTTTGTATCTGTTCAAAATGTCATCACAAAGATACAGAAAGAGGGATTGGATTATTTATTCCAAAGTCTACTAGGACTAGACATCGTAAATAAAATGATGAAAATTCATCGATCTTAGACTCTATTTCGAGTTCCAGTTCTGAAACAGCTTTGATTTTAAGTCTTTCAGATGTTTGTACTAGTTCTAGAAGTGAATCATCTATTCTTGTTGAGCTATTCAGATCTGATAATATGATTTCTACGTATATTTTGTTATAATGTCATCATTTACATTCTGATGTTCACTAATATTTAAAGATCTGAAGGGAAAGCATCTTCGAATTTATCTGATAAGGCAGAAAACTCATCCATTGACGAAGGTTATATTGATGAAGGATCGACTATGCAAGATATTGACGATAGTTAGAAATATTTCGAAGAGTCTTATATAGATTATGAACCATCCTTGGGTGGAACATCTTCAAATGTGATCGATGAATTTTCTGACTCGAATATATCTCATATTAAAATTTCAGGTATAAAATATGATAATTAAATAAGCAATACGTTTAAAACATTATTTAAATATTTTTATTAATTTAGAATTCAGAGAACACATACACTTATCTGATGAATTGGCTTGTGCTATAAGGTTATTCCGGGTCAAGTCTCATTGTAATTTGACGGACAATGCATTTCGACAAACTATGATGATAGTTAACGGTAGCAATGTCAGTTTACTTCAAGTCAGATGAATACTACAATCAATTGTTCCAATAGAGCCTACATGGGTGGATATTTGTATCAATTCTTGCTGTGCGTATACAGGAAAATACAAAGATGATGAATTATGTAAGTATTGTTATATATTGAGATTTCAAACTGGATATTCAATGGAAAAAAGATTTCCTCAACGTCAGATGGCCTTTTTTCCATTAAAGATCGTCTTAAGATTCAGTATCAAGACCAAAAGGTTCTGAAAGGTTGAAATATCGTATAAATTATACTCATCGTCAAGGTTTTGGATTAGATGGTAAAATCGGCGATATATTTGATAGTGTCAGATACCAAAAACTATTATCTGATAGATATTTTGAAGACGATAGAGATATTGCATTGACAGGGTCCATTGATAGTTACCAGATTTTTCGACAAAAGATGGAAGGTTGTTGAATAGTTCTTATGATCAACGCTAATATATGTCTTGAAGAACGCGTTAAAAAGAACATTTCCTGATAATAGCAATCATTCCAGGGCTAAAAGAACCCAAGTGCTTTAATTCATTTATGTATCCTATAGTCAAAGAACTAAAAGAATTAGAATGTTTGTTAATTTTAGTATTCATTTCCTTTTTTTTTGTATATAATTAATGTATGTTCTAATATTACTTTTAGCCAGAATATATTGCTATGATGGATTAAAAAAAGAATATTTTCTATTACACGCACATGTTTTATCATGATCAGACGATACTTCGAGACTAACAAAACTTATGTATCTAACTGGCCATAATTCGTACAAAGGATATCATTTTTGTAATATTCATGGTGTTTACTTGAATCATATGTATTTTCCAACTACGTCACCTATGGAAAAGGAACATGAATACTAAAAATATGATCCTGGTAATTTATCCTTACGAACCCATGGACAATTTAAGGATCAGATTTTTCAATTAAACCAATCAATTACTGAGAAAGAAAGAAAAAAATTGGTAATAGAATTTGGTAAGTATAATTACAAATATTTTCTGAACTTTGTTATATTTATTTAATATATACCATGTATTTATGATTTTATTAATAGGAATAAGAGGTCGTAGTAAACTTTTCGATCTTAAAGCGACTCGTTTTCCTAGTTTTTTTCTAATTGATCTAATGCATCTTATATATGAGAACATAGCGTGTTATATGTTTAAATTGTGGACAGGAAAATTTTTTAGTAATGATAGTAGTCAAGACATTAGTGACTATGTTCTCAGTCAGAATGTTTGGAATACAATTGGTAATGAGATACATTATACTCAAAAAAGCCTTCCAGCCTATCTTGGATGCCCACCTCATAATATTGTGTTATATTATAAAGGATATAAAGCTGAAGAGTGGGCTGCCTGGATTACTATATATTCATTACCTCTATTGAAAGGTAAAATGCCACAAAGACATTACAAAGGATAGGCGAATTTTGTTAAAGCCGTGCATCTGTGTCAAAAATTATCATTGACACTTAAAGATATTAGTGATATTTGATCTCTATTTCAATCCTTTTATGATTATTATGAAAAGTAAGTGGTATTATCAATTTAAACTTATACAAATTTTTTTAATATCGTCTTAATCAAAGTATATGACTGTATTTACACTTTTATTTTAAGAGAATATTATCGAAATTTAGAGAGCGATTAAGTACAATGAAATTATGCTTTCATTATCTTTTACATATCGCTGATAGTATAGAAAATATGGGTCCATGTTGGGCCACATAGCAATTTCCTATGGAGAGGATTTGTGAAATGTTGCTTCCTTTGGTCCAATCACGATTACATTCTTATAAAAATATAATTAATAACATACATATATGGGAAATGTTTAACCATCTACAATATTACCAAGTTGCATATGAGACTATCTTTCTTCCTTAAATATCCAAACATTATCCAAATCATCTTGTATATTCTCAATCTAATACCGAAGAGGAGTTATATTTTCCTTCAAAAAGACATACTCTTAGTCAGTTAGAGTTAAGGAAGATTAAAGAACATTTTTCTATATCTCACAATGTCAGAGGTCAAAAATTGAATGTAAGTTTTAATTTTTATGCATCTGATTACGGAATCCTATAAATAGATCAACAAAATGATCATTTGTCTCACTAATATTTGATATAATATTATGTAGTCTTTTTCTTCATTAGGTATAAAATATGGACGTTTACGTATAAAAGAAGGTCATCAAATTGGATCAAAATGGAAAAGGCGAAATGATGATTGGTCTCGCGTTAATTACTCAATATTGGTATGTTACTAATTCGTACAAGACTTGGCAATATATATTTATTTATTTTTTATTTAATAATATTTATAGGCAATTATGGAAGTGGATAAGTGGGCTTCGTTTTCCTGAAAAACACCTGAATATATATTACAAAATTTTTATGGTCAAGTTGAATATTATATGGTCTATGAATTTGAAGAACAGACTTATATGTTAGCATATGTTCATTGGGCTGCTAATATCATAAAGGATAATATAGGACTTATTTCATTTAAAAAATACGGTGTACATGAATTTATTGATGTATTCGTTATAGATCGTTGTGTGGGTTTTTTTCAACTTAAAAATACTTATTATATAATAGATAAGGAATTTGATGAGAAATTGGATTACACTGAATATGACTTATAGAATTTTAATCTTAGTATTTGTTTAACGATATTTATTTTATGACTTAATACATTAATTGACCATATTATATATTATTTTTATATATTAGTTAAAATGTGTTGATATTTAATATACAATTTATGTATACTTAAAATTAAGCACAATAAATTTATGTTTAAATTACTAACAAATACTGGATTTTTGAATAAAATATGTTCAAAATACTAGTTTTTTATATACAATTTATGAACAATGTGTTTTTATAGGGTTGATCTTCACAAGGAATAAGGTATACTGGAAATTGATAGCAATTACTATTCTTTACGAGTTGGTTTTGAATAAAATTAAAATATTTTCAAAGTAGTTTTAAAGTCTCTAAATTGACATTTTTTTCTTGATGAACGAATTGAAAGTCTTCATTAAGTTTTTTATAATTCTCTTGAAGTTTTTGATACTTATCCTTTTTTTGTAACAAAAATGTTTATACTCAAAGAAAAATTTAGCGATTTGATCTAAAGAAATTGATAATTAATTTTCTAAAGTTAATATCTTTACTTAAAGATCTTTTAGACTTGAACTTCCTTTGAACTTTTTGACAAGAATTTTTATTTTGATAAAAAATATAAAGGTAAAAGTATTAGCCATTACTGCAGTTAACTAAATAAGATTGAATAAATTATTACTGTTGCTAAAAAATAGTATAGATTATGTATATTCAAAGCTCATAATAAGCTAACACATGTCTTATATAATCAAGCTTCCAGACTACTATTTTAAATCTACCCATCTTACCTTGAGAAACTTTTTTACTTCTAAAATATCTATATTAAGTGAAACTCTAGCATCAAGAAGAAGAAGATTTCTTTTTATTTATATAAGTCATTTTGAAAATATTATGAATTTGAAAATCTGCAATAATTTTACTTAAAAAAAGAAAATTTTCGTGAAAATAAGAGAGATTTTAGAAAGGATATTTATAGATAAAAGATATGTGTAAATATTTTTTTTTGATCATGAAAAATTTCTTCTTGCAGAAAAATAAACATTAAATTATTGATCTAAATTGTTATTGATCATTACATAATATTTTAAGAAATATAAATGCATTTTATCAATGATCACGTAATATTTGCATAATATCTTATTGATTTCTTATTTAGTACAAATTTTGAAAATTTTAGGTAACTGCATAATTTTAAAAGTTTAACAAAATGCATGTAAAAGAATCAAGAAATATAAAAATGTTAATTTTTCTGAATAAGAAATTATTACATAGTTAATACTAGTATTGTTATAGAACATTGATGAGACACTGATAGAATATAAATAAGATATGAATAGAATAGATAGGATATTTAGAATATAGTGTAGCATAGGTTGGGACATATAGCTAGAATAACAAATCTTTATAATATTAAAAATAAATATCACTAGTTTATGTATTATCATTGTAGAATTCTTTAATTCAGATTGGTCACATCCTTAAATCTCTATTCAAGGTTATTACCTGTGACTCACTGCAGTTAAAACATTAAGGTCTGTCTAACTCTTAACTTTATCAAATCTACGCTATCACGATGGTTTCGTAACTATAAATAAAATCTCAAAGGGTAAATAAAACTAAGACAATTACTCAAGAAATCACGGGTGAGGATTCACAATAACGTCGAAGAATTATTCTCAATATAAATCACATGAGATAAATACAAAATAAACTCAAAGATAACTCAAAGATATTTCAGAGATTATGCTTTAGAGACTCTAAGTCAATACAGCGAATCAATACAATATCATATAATAAGTTCACTAACAAAAGGGATTGCACGAATGCAAAAGGATCATGGGTAATTTATAACAGTTTCAAAGGGTTTGCGAAGGAGAAGTTTTGTACTTGGTTAATTATACTCCTTTATTAATATAATATATAAGTTCGGTACCTAAAAGATTAACATCTCATTGGTACTGAGACTTAATAAAAATACAGAGATATTTATACATGTTGAATAAATAATAAAATAAACTAAACTAAATATATCAAAGGAAATAAAGTTGCCATCTTGCTAGGTAATAAAGTTGCTGTGTCAATAAAATTGCCAGATCTGCAGGCAACTAAATGGATATCTATAATCTACGTGATTATCAAAGGCAATAAAATTGACATCTAATAATTTGCATAATTGATCGACGGTAATAAAATGGACAAATTGATCTTCATAAAGATCTACATGGTAATAAAATGGACTTAATATTTTACCAATTAAATCTATCTAAAATTTTACTCGTCACAACGCGTTAAACTTAAATAAATCTATCAAATATGAAAACTTAAAAGATGAGATTATAAACAATTTAAATAAAGAATTCAAATAATG